AATGAATCTGAATTTTTCGATCTGTTACGATTATAAACTGAAGCAATATAAAAATGACTCCCATTAACTGAGTTTTAAACCTCAGCATATCCGGTCATAGTCCGGTAATTACCTGCTAACGGAAACTCTGCTACACAACTCTTATTATTATTATTGAAACATGACCGGTAAGTTTCAAATTTGTCCGGTAAAATAAATTCTGTTGGGCGGCCGTTAATATACCTGGGCGGGCCGCCCAGGTATATTAACGGCCGCCCAAGTATATTTCGCGACCCATTTAGTTTTTTTTTTTTTTTTTTTTATAAATTTTTTTTTTAATTTTTTTTTTTTTTTATTCGTCCGTGACCACGACGCCATCTGCGATCGATTAACTTGTAGACAATGATCCCTCGCTCCCTTGCTCTGATCTCGCCTCCTTCTGGCCTGTTAAGTGGCCTGCCTCACACAGGGTGACTGGCTGTCCACATGATGTGGCCTGCCGACATGGCCACTGTCATACAGATCATAAATCAAAGCCCTTGATTGGTCTCTGTGTGTCATTCAAGCTCGGGATAACCTCAGCTCAGGTGAGGTAAAGGACTCTAAGTGTTTAGATAGTTAACTTAGTCTAAGTTCTCAGTGGGTCTCAAACGGTGTGGTCACCATTTATGTAAACACATATTTCCATTTGAGAGGGTAGTGATTGGTCTAATGGATAGTGAGGTGGGCTGAAGATCGGAAGGCTGTGAGTTCAAATCCCGCCAGGAACACCACCACTAGTGTGCCCTTGAGTAAGGCACTTAGCCCTTAGTTACTCCAGGGAGAATGTCCCTGTAATCGGTCATTATAAGTCGCTTTGGATAAAAGCGTCAGCTAAATGAAATGTAATGTGATTTGTAAAATATGCATGAATAAATAAATAAAAAGTTAACTAGGTGAAAAAAGGTAAGATACACTTTTAAAACTTGTTGAGAGAAAACTAGTCTTTGCTGCTGCCTCAAAGAGGAGCAGGGGGGAGAGGAGGGAGACAGGAGAGGCTGATTCAGGAGCACAGACACACTCACAACTATAAATGAACCAAAAATAAATTAACAAGTTTCAGTGTTTTTTTCATATTGGAAATGGGATGTTATTGGTTATGGCCTTGATTTTATGATTATTGAAATGTATACAGTTCTGTTAAATATAGGTGTTTCCATAGATCTAGTCTCTTTATTTTCCCCTCAAAATGCACCAGATTGATGCATTTAACTCCAAAATAAAAAATAAAATCTTACCGGGGGGGCATGCCCCTGGACCCCCCTAGAGGATTTGAGGTCGACCCCCACTAAAAATCACATGGATAGGTTCCTAAATACATTAATAAATACATTTATTTTTTTAAATAGTAGCCCATTTCCATATGTTCATGTGTGGGTAGTAGATTTAAACTATAGGGCTATCATTATGGACCCTGCCTGTACCTGTACCTGTTCGCTCTGCCATCGCGTGAAGGGTCTGCTAACAAGCGACCAACAGAAAGGTTAATGTTGTTGCACGTCACCTCAACCCCCCCCGCTACCACCACCCCCCAAAGTATATTTCAGATCTGTGGGAAACACTGGCAGTTAATGGACCAGCACCAGAGGCATTCCCATACACACAGGCGTTGGAGCTGTTCCTCATGAAATCCCAGAAGGATGAAGTGCTCTGACAAACAGTGCCATCTTTGCGCAAAATGATTATACCGGAATGAAAAGTCAATAAATAATGTTGTTAAAACTTTTTTTTTTTTTTCGCGCACCCGCCCAAGTATATTTCATATCTGTGGGAAACACTGCATACATACATACATACATATATATATATATACACACATATATATATATATATATACATACACACATATATATATATATATATATATATATATATATATATATATATATACACACATATATATGACAGACAGAATATTAATATTAAATATTGAACAGATTATATGAACCCCGTCTCACATAATTTACACGGTATACATTTTGAGTGATATAATGTTATTTCACACACTCAAAATTGATGTTCTGCTGTTGTTGTAGAGAAATTATTTCTGATTTGAGTTACATTTTTGAAAGTACAAGCCAGAGAATTAATCTCTTTGTTTTTTCCACATTTGTTTTCACAGTGAGGAAGGCGATGAGGATATGGCTTCTGGATGCCCGAGTATTATGGGGAAGATGCCACCAAGGTCAGGAGGTACTGCAGGAGGTGCTCTGATGCTGGCAACTGAAGAGTGAAGACACCTGTGTACTGCAGGAAGTGTCAGGTCCCTCTGTGCTTCACTACCAAACATAACTTTTACAGGGCATGGCATGACTTACTGGAGTAATACTGTAACATTCAGGGTTTGCAAAAGTTTTTTTTTTACCCACAAAATGCTTGTTGTATAGTGTGTTGCTAATTTTTTTTAATAAATCTGCTCCAGTTGGAGTCAAATGTTTCCTAAGTTTCCTCATTTTTATTGTGCAAGTAACATGCATCTCATGCAAAGAGGGAACTTCCCACACACTACACACACACACACACACACACACACACACACACACACACACACACACCACACACACACTTAATTATTTATTTATTTTTTAACAATCATTTTTGTTGTTGTTGTTATGGAATGAATACCTATAGTGATAATTAAATGTTGTACAATGATTTTTACAGTCTGGTACCTGAAAAAGGTTAAATGGCACTGATGGAACCAAATTTACCCAAATGTACCCAAAGCTTAGTCCGCTTGGACTTTTTTTTGCTAAATCTCTCTAAAAAGGTCAATTCTCACTTGTTTTGCCTCAATCTTGATACAGGGTACTTATTATGTTATACTTTGGATTCCTAAAGCTTTTAGGCTACTAACCCATCATCCAAGGGTGATTTTCACTATAAGTAATGGGTTTTATTTGGGCGGAAACAAAAATGTACACTTTTTGACTATGTTCCATCTGGATTTACTCTGACACTGAAACATCTTTATTGATTCTGACACTTCTACATCCAACTCACAGATGTGACCTTGCTTTGAAAAAAGAAATTATTCATATAACCCTTTTAGAAGTTAAGTTATAGTCCTTTGTTTTGGGCATGTCATTTTTCGAGCCTGAAACCTGAAAAACAGGCTTGGGGCTTAAGAGGTTAAAGTTCATATTTGTCTAATATTAGTTTACTTTTCATTAATGAAGTATGACGCTGCGCTGTCAGTACACTTGTCCCTGTTTGTGATTGGTCAAATGTAGCTAACCCCGCCCCTTTCACGTGAACGCGTTCTCAGCTGGAGAGAGAAACCCTGGCTTGATTTACCGAGTTGATAACCAGCGCCGTAGGACCGTTTAGCGAGATCGCGTTTGTTAGGGTTAGTTAAGATAACTCGAGCATATCCAGGGTCTGTTGAACTGGCTTCGTGGTACAGGGCACAGGTGGCTGCATAGCAGCGCTAATGTCAAAGACATATTTTTATTTTACCAGGATGCAGTTACACAAATATTTGGGAAGGCTTAGCCTTCCCTAGCCTACAGCACAGGTGCCAATGTTGATTGTTAGGTCAAGAGTGGGACAATATTTTCCCGGAAGGAAAAGCAGTTCAGTCTTGTCAAGGTTGAGCTTGAGGTGATGATCAGACATCCACTGAGAGATGTCAGCTAGACAAGCAGAGATGCGTGCGACGACCTGGGTCTCTGAGCGGGGAAAGGACAGAATTAACAGGGTGTCTTCAGCGTAGCAGTGGTATGAAAAACCATGCGGGCTAATGACAGATCCGAGCGAGTTTGTGTACAAGGAGAAGAGGAGGGGACCAAGAACAGAGCTCTGAGGGACCCCTGTAGTTAATTGACAAGGGTCGGACTCGGACCCTCTCCAAGTAACCCTGTAGGTGCGGTCTTTGAGGTATGAGGTGAGGAGGGAAAGTGCAGAGCCTGAAACTCCAAGTTCTTGGAGAGTGCGAAGGAGGATCTGATGATTCACCGTGTCGAATGCAGCAGACAGGTCCAGAAGGATGATGACAGAGGAGAGGGATGCTGCTTTATCAGTGTGCAGTTCCTCAGTGACAGCAAGGAGGGCAGTTTCTGTGTATATGATATGTTTTATAATGATTGATCATGAAAGTGTTCTCAAAGCTGGTAAAGGTGCAGCTAGTTTGAATGACGTTGTATACTGCAGGGTAGCTTGTGGATTTACTCCAGGTGGAACTAAAGTCTGATTCAACACTTGATTATATTAAACTTCATTAATCCACATGTTGCTGTAGTTGTAGTTTTCAAAAGTTGTTAAGATGTTTCTTTAGAAGCCAGCAGTGTTTTAAGAGTCTTTGGACAATTCTCTTCCCATGTTTGGAAGCTTTGAAATACAATTGTTACTGCATATCATTCAGCTTTCAGCAGGCAAACTTTCATTCTTAATCCAGTTATAAAATGACAGAAAGAGTTGTGTTTTTTATGGCAAAACAAGTAGACTGCCTCTAACTGTGCCCTGTCAGAACTTTTTTGTAAATATCCGATGTCTTTGTGAGATACAACTGTATGGCCCTAACAAGGTTATATTTCTTTCTTATTGTATTTTCTGCCAAAGGAAGTCTTGTTATTAATGCTTTCTATAGAAAACACATAAACAGCTCAGGCATACAGAGGAAACTGGTGTTTGTGTGGGCCTCCAGACATACATTAGTTGTTTGAACTTTAATATTGTTTGTGGCCCATCAGTTATCAAGATACCACTCTTACAGACATGATGGGGATTGATCTTCTGATCTAACTTTGGGTAAGAAAGCTTTCAGATGTCTTTTATAATATTTGTCTATTTTGTCTGTATTTAAAAAAATAAAAAACTTGCCTTCACTGGTTTTAAATGATTGATAGGAAAACAATCAGTTATTTTCTTATGACATAAGACAAGCACATTCACAGAAGGTGTACAAGTCATGTGTAAAAGCAAAAGTCAAGGCAGACTTTTGTTGCAATCTCCACCAGTAAATCTTGACGTCATGCAGACAATGATATTTAAGATGCACATTTTATTTTGGATGCTTTGTGTACACATTACAGAATCTTTGCAAATCCATTTCATTGAATGCTAATCCAGTGCAGAGCCAAACACCTCCACCTCACAGAGGGTCAGGAACTCCTTTCTTCCAGTGATACCTATGTAAACATAGCGGCCGTCCATCCCGTTGGGAACCTGGAACTCAACAGTTTCACCTGCCGGGATGCTGGTGATTACAGCAAACCTGTAGAAGAAGCAGAAATCACTACGTTAACCTCAGGAAGGGTTTACTGAAGTAATAGGCTTTTCATTTTAAGTTCAACATGCACTCAAAGCGTCATTAGGTTTCTACGCTTTACTTGGTTAGAATGTTGGTTGCAGATATTTTAATTAGGGCTTGATAATTAACAATATGTATATTTCAGTAATGTTTAAATAAATGTTTTCAAATCATGTCACAGAATCACAATTGACGACCCTCGATCAGGCCTTTCATTTGACGACCTTGGTATTTGTCCATTCCTGTGATCAGATCAGAACACATTGCAGGAATCATTCATAAATGAAGGGTATTCCGCTCCAATCCTATTTCTTGGCAATGTAAGGATTTTTAATCCAAAATGTAGCACCAGGTAAACTTGAGAGAGAAAAGCTGAATAATTGTTCCTCAAACGTGTTCCAACAAAATACCAATGTAGTGACTTTTTAATATTAGTATTGTAATAGGACAGGCTCTACGTTACCTGGGATTTTCAGCACCATTGTTTACAAGAGAATCTCCAATGCGGATCTCTGCTCCATCGAGTCGTTCATGGACTTGATATCGGTTGGTTATCTTAACAGAAAACACTTTGTGTGTTTTGGGCAGAGTCAGCCTCCACCAGGGGTTCGATTCCTGGGTTGTGACACTGCAGGACATCACATTCGAACCATCATCGAACTTGGAGTCCCGACTCCCATCAATGGCATAATATGCATTGTAAAACGAATACAGTGATGACTGTGCGGCTTTTCCTTGAATGGCCAGGTTCTCTTCTGCAACAAAAAAATTGTTAAATCAATAACATGTATGACTCCTGATGCAGATTGTTTTTTATTATACTGTTTCACCATGACTCTCAAAAGATTTGCCGTCAGGATGAAGGACACAAAAGGGATAACCCCACCATATATAAACAAATAATTACCATATAGTTATTTGTTATTGGAAAAGAGGAATTAAAGTAATATTATAGGCTATAATATATTGAGTCTTTAGTTAAATTTATATATAACTACAACTGCACTAAGTTTAACTAAATGTCAGTTTTGGCAAATTAAACTTTAAATAAAAGAAGACCTGTTTTAGTAATCATAAGTGACATGAGAGGCTGGTACATCCTTTCTCTTGTTCCTATCAATGGGACCATATTTTACAACTTCAACATCATGCTGGATTGAAGAAGACTTGAAACAAACAATTGAGATCATAAACTAATAGTTACACTCTTTCCAGCGGTAATACATCAAGTGAGTTGCAGGAAAATGTTCATAGACTTCTACACAATCAGACTTTTAGAACGAATGCAGGTTCAAGGCACTTCTGCATTGAGTTAACTTTTCAGCCACTTGGCTGATATGACAGTTCCTTGTTTGGATGGAAATCACACATTATTTATGTAAGATCCCAAACCCTCACCAGTTGGGGCATGGTACCCGTAGACTTCCACCTCACAGAGGGCAAGGCTCTTTCCTTCACCCGGTATATGCACAGTCACATAGCGTCCCTCCACGCGATGAGTGAAAGTCAGAGTGTACAATGCCTCGATTGTAGAAATTGTACCAACCCTAAAAGAAAGAGAACAAAATTGAGAAAGAAAGAAGAACATGAATGACATGTTATACCCCCAAGGCTTCACCAGTTAGATAAAAGGTAACTGGTAATTTCATAATAGACTTCTATACAATCGGACTCCTTTTTGCAATCAGGGGGCACCCACTGCGAGATATTAAAGACGATGCAAGTTCAACGCACTTCAGCATTGCCTATATTTTTGATAAGCAATGCAAATAGGTAAAATGACATGGTTGAAACATTTAGGAACAGTTTCTATGAGAATCTACTGGCAGAGGTGGGTAGTACATTTACAATTCAGAGGTACTTGTACTTAACTTGAGTATTTCCATTTAATTCTACTTTCTCCTCCTACTCCTCTACATTTCAATACGGAAATAATGTCATTTTATTCCAGTACATTCATTAAACAGCTTTAGCTACTTTTAACTAAATGTATCTCTAACAATTAAACTAGGGGACTAACTCTGTAAGTCACAAAACAGTCAAATCATATAAATACAATTAAACTTGTAAAATGCTTCTTAATGCATTAATATATCTAGAAATATTACATACATATGTAAATGTAATCATTAAGTACATTTTGCTGATAATACTTTTGTACTTTTACTTAAGAAACCTTTTGAATGCAGAACTTTCCCTTGTAATGAAATATTTTGAAACTATGGGTATCTGTACTTGTACTCAAGTAAAGCATCTTAATACACCTCTGTCTACTGGTAGTGAGCAATTAACAGGGGAGAGGAGAATATAAACTAAATGCTCAGACAGTTACACAAAACAAATGAATAAAATGTGTACAGGAAATGTCTTACACTGGGTTTGATGCACCATTGTTGTCTAAAGAGTTGCCGATGTGGATCTGTGCCCCCACAAGCCTTTCTGAACAGCAGTCTAGTCTGTTGGAGATGGTGACGGAGGTGACGACGTAGGGCTCCAGCAGGTCCACTCTCCACCAGGGGTTGTTTTCTTCAACAGTGTGGCTGCACGATCCAGAAAGGAACTTATTGTCACGGTTTCCATCAATAGCGTTGCTGGCAAATCCAAATTCATAATGGTTTGACTGGGTCGCTTTTCCGCGCATGGCCACGTTTTCTAGAGAGAAGACAGAGGTATGTCAGTGTTTCAATAGATAACTTTGAGATGGTCCTGAGTACTCACGACACTCCAAAGAAAACAGCATATGAGAAACATTACAGTCATAGAAAGGCTGTAAGTTGTTGGGAGAGTTAATCGGTCATGGAGTTAATTATTGCTTATTAGCTTGATATATGACCTGTGTTTGAATACTGAACATTATAGACGCGGGCGCTTAATTTCCAAATATTTTGCATTTATGTCTGTCTTTGTGTAATGTGAGTTTGGTTGTACTGTGTGCATTTGCAGTAGTGTTGCTAAATAGTTTCTACACTGAACAAAAATATAAACGCAACACTTTTGTTTTTGCTCCCATTTTTCATGAGATGAACTCAAAGATCTAAAACATTTTCTATAAACACAAAATAACCATTTCTCTCAAATATTGTTCACAAATCTGATAAAATCTGTGATAGTGAGCACTTCTCCTTTGCCGAGATAATCCATCCCACCTCACAGGTGTGGCATATCAAGATGCTGATTAGACAGCATGATTATTGCACAGGTGTGCCTTAGGCTGGCCACAATAAAAGGCCACTCTGAAACGTGCTGTTTTGCTTTATTGGGGGGGTCTGGGGGGGTCCGAAAACCAGTCAGTATCTGGTGTGAGGGGTAGGGGTAGGGTTAGGGTAATGTTGTGAATCGAGTGGCCTGTGTTCGTCGTCCATAACATACGCCTGCCCATACCATAACCCCACCACCACCACGGGCCACTCGATTCACAACATTACCCTAACCCTAACCCTACCCCTCACACCAGATACTGACTGGTTTTCGTACCCCCCCAGACCCCCCCAATAAAGCAAAACTGCACGTTTCAGAGTGGCCTTTTATTGTGGCCAGCCTAAGGCACACCTGTGCAATAATCATGCTGTCTAATCAGCATCTTGATATGCCACACCTGTGAGGTGGGATGGATTATCTCAGCAAAGGAGAAGTGCTCACTATCACAGATCTTATCAGATTTGTGAACAACATTTGAGAGAAATGGTTATTTTGTGTTTATAGAAAATGTTTTAGATCTTTGAGTTCATCTCATGAAAAATGGGAGCAAAAACAAAAGTGTTGCGTTTATATTTTTGTTCAGTGTATGTGTTTAGTGTCTATTCGGTCATTTGCACATGTTTGCTTACATTGCAATGCCTTGAGCAACAGTATAATCGATACGAATCGGCCTAAAAACTTTCTACACAATACAAAAATCCTGCAGGAAGTTTTTGCAGAGAAGTCAGCAAAAAGAGGAAGTGGTGTGCTGATTCAGTCCGAGTATAAAACAACAATTGGAGAAATCAGACTAGTTATCAAGGCTGCAAAACATAAAGTGTATATATTTAATGTGAGCAGATTACAATCTTCTGATTTAGAATCCAACTGAGTTTATTTATTTTTAAACATCATAATAAAATTGTCCTAAAGCTTTAGTCAATATTTAACTTGCTAATGAATATGTGTTTTAATCTTTTTATCTTTATCTTATTAAGCTTTTGCAACAACTACAGGGATTTTGGAGCAAAAACGTCCAGATAATTCAATTTGTATGTTAACCCTCTCGGATCATACTTACGATAAGTGGAGACTGAGCACGTCTGCAGGAGCAGCAGCAGAAGGACAACACAGAGCTTCATCTTTCTGGTAGAGCGAGAGGATATCGTTAACAGAATATCATTTAAAAAATGACCATATTTTACATTTGTCTTACTGTTAGAAAGGCAGGATCAGTGATTGTAACGGTAAAGTTCAACAAGTTAGAGTTCAATATTAAGACAAGATCGATCTCTATTTATCCAAAGGGATTTTGTTGCGCTTCAGTTGCAATATAAAGTAGGACAAATGCAAATGAGGATCCTTACACTGCAATCTTATTGGGTTTACTCCCATGCACATGTATTTCAGTTCCCTTTTCTTGTGGATTTGATTATAGGAGTCATCCAAGTTAATGCCAGGAAGTATGCTAAAGATCACTCAATACACACCAATGTATTACCAATAATATCGGTTTAATATTATGTAAAGTAACTTTGATAATAATGAACTAAAACAACTCATGTAGGTGGAATGTAGGTTATTACATTTAAGTACAATTTAAAGATACTATAATTAGTATTCCCAATATAACCTGCTTTATACTTCTACTGCACTACACCGGCAGGAATGGAAAATAGTGTCCTAATACTTTAAAACTAAAACTAACTTTAATAGATATTTTAAAACAGGGAATATCATTTTATAAACATTCTATTTGTTATATTATCCAACAGCGTATAGTGTACGAAACTATTTGCTCTTCACATAGTATTCAGAGTTTGCTTAAGTTTCAATGCATCAGTAACTATTAGGGGTGGGAATCACCAGGCTCCCCACGATACGATACTATCACGATACTTAAGCCACGATACTTAAGCCACGATACAATAGTATTGCGATTCTACGATATGCTAAGTGTTGCGATACGATATATTGTGATATTGCAAATCACATGGGTCATGTCCATGTCCGTCTTCCCTTCCTGGTTAAAAACTGTATTTGCAATATGAATAGTTTATGTAAATAACACAATTTGTGTTATTAGAACCTGAAAAGGAGACGGCATTGTTTTTGTTACTTTCATTGCAATTGTATACATGTCTTATTAACGTAACTTCCTGTTTTATACACGACCATCTTTCGGAGCGATATGCTTCAGTTTCTATAAATGAAACCAGAGGAGACTGAAGTCCACCGCAGACGGACCACTTTTGGACAAAATGTCCTCTCCATTAAAGGCAGCTCATTCTGGAATAGCCTCCCAACTGAGATACGGGATTGTCCCACTCTCAATAGCTTTAAAGGTCAACTCAAAGAATGGTTGAGAAACAAAACAGATGTGCAATCACCGCTAAATGCACTTTAACACAGGGGCATCTCCTCTTGCACTTTATATGTCGTAGCTGCTACATTGTACTGCCATGTGGTAAATGCTTGTATGCTGCTCATGCTCTTTCTGCATATCATGTATCAAGTTCCGCCCACTGTGAAGTTTATACATGTGTATAAAGAGCTGCAGTGACGCGTCCTAAAACCAGGAAGTAAGCTGCGCTCCGGTTCCCTCGACAGAAAGCAATGGGATTTCTCCATAGGATTTTGGAAAATAGCTTGAAATAAGGTCTGTGGAACGAACCTGTCAGATAAATGCACGTTTTGTTCAGCCGGATAATATCCACATGTCTACCCTACTTTTATTATTTTCTAATCATAAATCTAATCCATAGATTTATGATGGATAGATTTATAATAAACTGGAGTGGCAAAGGATCAGCTGAATGACCCGCAAGTGCTTCATCCAAAAGGACAGGAGGATGGACTTTGTGTTTCAGTGATTTGATCATCAAAGGTAGGCCTAAGTCATTTTCAATGTGGGCCGCCGTGCCGACTTAATTCATTTGTAATTGTTACTTGTCTGTGGGTGCCCTGTCATGATAGGTGTTTATATAAATGATGTTGTTTTGTGGGCCTAGGTATAAAAGTCACGGCTCGCCACTGGTTTTAGCTGAATACACGTTTTCTAACCCTAACTGATGCAGTTAGTCACTTCTTCAATGTTTGTTCTTTCTGATGTAAAGTCAAGGTTGTAACTGTTTGCATTAAAGTCGTGGGCCGCTGAACTGTTCCTTTGAATCTTTTGAATTTTGATATATGATCGTGATTACTTGTCTTTCAAATTTGAAGGAGGGTGAGCAAGCATCTTGAGGAACATTCATCATTAACTCCTCCAAAACATATAGTTTATTTAATAATAACACTGAATATGTGAATCATAACAGTGATTGACAGCTGATAGGAATGATATGATTGTTAATATTATCATATTAATTCAGACAAACATCGATGAGACAGTTAATTAATGTACTTATTGCAGCAGTCTGCATAGATTTGGTACCCCTGCTGGTCTAAGAGTGAAACAAACTCATTCAGTTATTGTTCATTTAAAATTCATTAAATTATGTCTGCCACCTTATATATTTATATTTAAGGATTCATGTAGTGCCACAATAATGTCACCTAATTCTCACCTTATTGAGTTAAAATATCAATATTGTGGCTTTCCAAGTTAACATTGATTGATATGACTGCGATTAAATCAGCATATACTTCTGCCAGGGGATGCCACCCCTCAAAATCTCCTGCCACCCCATGAATATGTTTCTGATCATTTGAGCTGCAGAGTTTTGGATGAGCTGAAGTCTGTCAGTAGTTTTTTCGGAGGTCACTGAAAAGTGCATTACATTACTTGTGACCTCCGGTTTGATCCTAGGAGTAAATCTCCCCAGATTATTAACCAGAATTTCTGTTTTTGCTTATACTAATTGTTTAATACATTTTTGAGGGTAAATATCTGTCACAGTTCTAGCTTTTCAAATGTGAAGATTTTTTTGGATTTAGAGTTTTTTTTATATATATCATACTTAAAACGTTTACTTAAGTAGCATTCTCAATGCAGTATTTTCCTTGCAATGGAGTAATTTACATTGCAGTATTAGTACTTTTACCTAAGTAAAGGAGCCAAATATTTCTTCCACCGCTGCAAAACATTAATATTAATACAAAATGTTAGAAACATACAAGATTTTAATTTTTTTTAAATAGTAGGAATGAGAATTGAAATGCTTACCCTGATTCCCGGTGAGAATAGAAATTTTGTACCAACAAAATAACTGAGTCGAAGTTACTTGATCTCAGAACTTCAAGAAGTGTCTGTAGATAAAAACCCTTAAAGCTGAGCTATTTGTATGATATCTTCCCCCAAAGTCAATCAATAATCATGATCAGCATCCAATCACTGAATACCACGTAGTATACTCCCAGGCACATGAACACAGTCAACAGATCAAGGTTCCAGTGGTCATCTAAGGACACACTGATGAAACATTCATATGAGTTCACGTTTGCACAACCATTGCTTTAATCACAGAGCGATAACTGCACTGATCCAACAGTTTCATTTAACGAGGATTTAGTTTATCACATTGACATATATATTATATATATATTGTCTCATAGCTACAAATGCAAGAGAAATATATGTTTATATGATGCCGTGTGCAGAGGTGGGAAAAGTACTCAGATCTTCTATTTGAGTAAAAGTACCAGAGTGTAGGAAAACTCTGTTACAGTTAAAGTCCTGCATGCAAAATATTTATCAAGTAAAAGTAGAAAAAGTATTAGCTTCAAAATATAATTAAAGCACCAAAAGTAGAAGTAGTCGTTGTGCAGATTGCTCTATTTCAGAATAATATGACATTACATTGCATTTAGCTGACGCTTTTATCCAAAGCGACTTACAATAAGTGCGTTCGACCAACAAAATACAAACTTGAAGAAAACAGAATCATATAAGTACATCAGGCTTCATAGAGCAAAAACATTTCAAGTGCTACTCAACTGGCTTTAGGTAAGCCAGTCCTTTATTAGTATATAAGTGCTTTGTTAATAGTTCTATCGCTCGAAGTGGAGTCGAAAGAGATGAGTTTTCAGTCTGCGCCGGAAGGTGTGTAAGCTATCTGCCGTCCTGATGTCAATGGGGAGCTCATTCCACCATCTTGGAGCCAGGACAGCAAACCCACGTGTTTTTGCTGATGGGAACTTGGGTCCCCTTCGCAGCGAGGGTGCAGCGAGCCGTTTGGTTGATGCAGAGCGGAGTGCACGTGCTGGGGTGTACGGTTTAACCATGTCCTGGATGTAGGAAGGGCCAGATCCATTTGCAGCATGGTACGCAAGTACCATTGTCTTGAAGTGGATTCTAGCAGTTACCGGAAGCCAGTGAAGGGAGCGGAGGAGCGGAGTGGTGTGGGAGAATTTAGGAAGGTTGAAGACCAGGCGAGCCGCTGCATTCTGGATGAGCTGCAGAGGTCGGATGGCACATGCAGGTAGACCAGCCAGGAGGGAGTTGCAGTAGTCTAGGCGTGAGATGACGAGAGCCTGGACCAGAACCTGAGTCGCTTTCTGAGTCAGCTGGGGACGTATCTTCCTGATGTTGTAAAGCGTGTATCTGCAGCAGCGGGTTGTAGTAGCGATGTTTGCAGTGAAGGACAGGTTGTTATCTAGGGTCACACCCAGATTCCTTGCAGTCTGAGTCGGGGAAACAACTGAGGTGCCGATGTTGATTGTTAGGTCAAGAGTGGGACAATATTTTCCCGGAAGGAAAAGCAGTTCAGTCTTGTCAAGGTTGAGCTTGAGGTGATGAGCAGACATCCACTGAGAGATGTCAGCTAGACAAGCAGAGATGCGTGCGACGACCTGGGTCTCTGAGCGGGGAAAGGACAGAATTAATTGGGTGTCTTCAGCGTAGCAGTGGTATGAAAAACCATGCGGGCTAATGACAGATCCGAGCGAGTTTGTGTAAAAGGAGAAGAGGAGGGGACCGAGAACAGAGCCCTGAGGGACCCCTGTAATTAATTGACAAGGGTCGGACTCAGACCCTCTCCAAGTAACCCTGTAGGTGCGGTCTTTGAGGTATGAGGTGAGGAGGGAAAGTGCAGAGCCTGAAACTCCAAGTTCTTGGAGAGTGCGAAGGAGGATCTGATGATTCACCGTGTCGAATGCAGCAGACAGGTCCAAAAGGATGATGACAGAGGAGAGGGAGGCTGCCTTAGCAGTGTGCAGTTCCTCAGTGACAGCAAGGATGGCAGTTTCTGTGTATATGATATGTTTTATAATGATTGATCATGAAAGTGTTCTCAAAGCTGGTAAAGGTGCAGCTAGTTTGAATGACTTTGTATACTGCAGGGTAGCTTGTGGATTTACTCCAGGTGGAAATAAAGTCTGATTCAACACTTGATTATATTAAACTTCATTAATCCACATGTTGCTGTAGTTGTAGTTTTCAAAAGTTGTTAAGATGTTTCTTTAGAAGCCAGCAGTGTTTTAAGAGTCTTTGGACAATTCTCTTCCCATGTTTGGAAGCTTTGAAATACAATTGTTACTGCATATCATTCAGCTTTCAGCAGGCAAACTTTCATTCTTAATCCAGTTATAAAATGACAGAAAGAGTTGTGTTTTTTATGGCAAAACAAGTAGACTGCCTCTAACTGTGCCCTGTCAAAACTTTTTTGTAAATATCCGATTTCTTTGTGAGATACAACTGTATGGCCCTAACAAGGTTATATTTCTTTCTTATTGTATTTTCTGCCAAAGGAAGTCTTGTTATTAATGCTTTCTATAGAAAACACATAAACAGCTCAGGCATACAGAGGAAACTGGTGTTTGTGTGGGCCTCCAGACATACATTAGTTGTTTGAACTTTAATATTGTTTGTGGCCCATCAGTTATCAAGATACCACTCTTACAGACATGATGGGGATTGATCTTCTGATATAACTTTGGGTAAGAAAGCTTTCAGATGTCTTTTATAATATTTGTCTATTTTGTCTGTATTTAAAAAAATAAAAAACTTGCCTTCACTGGTCTTAAATGATTGATAGGAAAAAAATCAGTTATTTTCTTATGAGATAAGACAAGCACATTCACAGAAGGTGTACAAGTCATGTGTAAAAGCAAAAGTCAAGGCAGACTTTTGTTGCAATCTCCACCAGTAAATCTTGACGTCATGCAGACAATGATATTTAAGATGCACATTTTATTTTGGATGCTTTGTGTACACATTACAGCATGTTTACAAATCCATTACATTGAATGCTAATCCAGTGCAGAGCCAAACACCTCCACCTCACAGAGGGTCAGGTACTCCCTTCTTCCGGGGACACCTATGTAAACATAGCGGCCGTCCATCCCGTTGTCATCATGGAACTCAACAGTTTCACCTTCCGGGATGCTGGTGATTACAGCAAACCTGTAGAAGAAGCAGAAATCACTACGTTAACCTCAGGAAGGGTTTACTGAAGTAATAGGCTTTTCATTTTAAGTTCAACATGCACTCAAAGCGTCATTAGGTTTCTACGCTTTACTTGGTTAGAATGTTGGTTGCAGATTTTTTAATTAGGGCTTGATAATGAACAATAATTACAATTCAGTAATATTTAAATAAATGTTTTCAAATCATGTCACAGAATCACAATTGACGACCCTCGATCAGGCCTTTCATTTGGCGGCCTTGGTATTTGTCCATTCCTGTGATCAGATCAGAACACATTGCAGGAATCATTCATAAATGAAGGGTATTCCGCTCCAATCCTATTTCTTGGCAATGTAAGGATTTGTAATCCAAAATGTAGCACCAGGTAAACTTGAGAGAGAAAAACTGAATAATGTTCCTCAAACATGTTCCAACAAAATACCAATTTAGTGACTTTTTAATATTAGTATTGTAATAGGACAGGCTGTAAGTTACCTGGGATTGTCAATAATGTAATTAATCTGGTACTGAGAGTTATTACAAAGCACTATTCCTAAATATAATTAATTGTTTAATTTTTTCGTTGTCTACTAAACCGGCTCTGCATTTGGGTCCAACCACTCTGTAATTCCCTCGAAACACAGGCAGACACAAGTGGCTTTCTCATTACGGGTTTATTCCTCCGAATCCACCGTGAAAACTACACAAACAAACAGTATAAATGACAAACATAGTTTCGTGTTAGACACACAATAACATGCACAGCATGTGAGATAACTAGCAAGGTAATAAACATAAAAGTAATACAAACACAACAACATACCTCGTTGGGCTGCATGCTCTGTAAACAGAGGGAAGTATTCTTCAGTTCTCTTCATAACTTATATGTATAAGAATACAAAACTAACGGAGCTGTAAGTATCCGTGCATCTTACTCTGAGGGTGCTTCTCATGTTCTCGCTCTCTAACTCACGCGAGAACAGCATAACGAGACGTGAGCTTGGACTTCAAAATAAAAGACGAAATATTTTACGCATTACAACAATAATAATTAGTACACTTAGAAAATACACATTACAGTTAAATTATGAACATGTAAAGGCTGCACTTACGCACTCCTTGCTTCACATGAAAATGATTGATTTGTACTATTTATCGAATTGCAATTTTTCCCATTATTATTTTATTATTATTAGTTCTTTTGCAGGGAATTATTATTATTATTAGTTTAAATCTCATAGATATTAACACTATTATACATATGGCTGTTAATATACTGAAATAATCATCATCATTAATTGTTTTGTGATATTATGTCCCTCTTGTTATTATATATATATTTATATATGTGTCCTTCACAAGAACTTTATATCAATATATAATACTATTCTGAAGCATACAATGAATAATACATCAGTGTACAACAGAGCCAGGTTAAAGTGAGTACAGTCAACCAGGTTGTGTGTGTTATCACTGTATTATATACTGTAAATGAAGAAGGCTTTAATCCTTCATAAAAGTCATAATATGGCATGTGTGTAAGGGAAACTTCTGTGTAGCAATGCAGTGGGAGTCACCGACTCAGGAAGGAGACACGGTGGAGCAGGAGCTTTTGATGTCAAACACTGGAGGTTTATTTGGAGTTACGGCCGGAGAGTTCACATCACAAATCACAGCAGTCACGGTGAGACTGCACGGGTGGGTTGCCACGTCAACTCTGGAGCGCCTCTCTCTTGTTAGCCCATTTAACTGGTTTCACAGAGAGTCATCAACATATTTTTATAAGATAGCTTTAGACAGTTGGGCACACTGAGTCACTTGCTTCCGCCACTTATGGCCTCGAATATGTCATACCCTGGAGTCCACAAACAACAAAGAAGGAAGTGTCCCAGTGCACCCACAACAAAGACCATCTGTGACCTAGTGTTGAACGGTCACAGAATGGGAACAATAACATTATGGCTGAAGCAGCCTATGTCCTTAAAGGAGATAAACAGACGTCAGGGTTGGTCCTGTACGTCATATCTAGGAGTCTAGGACAATTATTTCCCTAACAATGTGGATTTATTTACTTTTTTGATTAGAGACAGATACGTCATACAGTTATTTTGATTTGCTAAATGTAAAGGTTTCACAGCAGCCAGAACCTTCATCTGTGCCGGCCCCCAGGTCAAGATCTACCGTGGCTCAAAGACCTCCACCACAGCCATCACCACCAAGGACCAGAGGACCAGCAACACTACAGCGGCCTCCACCTCTATCTGTACCTGCCACAAGATTGAGGTACACCTCGGTACAAAGGCCTCCACCACAGCCATCACGATCAACCCAGCCAGCAAAGAAGTCTCGCCTAGCACACGTACCTCCCAAACAGCCACCAGCATCAACCCGGGACAATCACACCTACCTCACTCCGACACAGCCACAAGCATCCCATGCACCATCACCCCCACCTACACAGCAGCCAGACCCACTGTCTTGGAAGACAGACAAAGACCATGACACTGCTCCCCCTGTCTTTACATTTATAATGAATAGTTGGTTGAAAAAGTTCTGATATTTGAAATATTGAGATTTCACTGTTTCTTATGTTAACATAAATAGTTAATTAATACTTAGTTCCCTGAATCTGGAATAATGTACAATTTACAGCACAGCCTCAGAATGTCGGGAACTTGTCATCTACAGATTGATTTGGTCTGGCTTTACCCTTCACTGATTGGTTGAAGAAACTTTGAATTTATTGGCTATGGAAATCAGAAGGAGGGGCTCATTATCATATTAAAAACCGTTTGTATGTGTTTTTGGGTATGTATGTGTTTTTGACTTTGCATATCGTTTTTGTATTTGCAGCGTTTTTCTGTTGAGTTTGTTTTCGGGGTTTGTGTGTTTGTATTAGTTTGCATCATTTCTGTAAATGCCAGCGTTTTTTGTTGTATTTGTTTTCAGGGTTTGTTTGTTTTTCATTTAATTATTTGCAGGTGTTTCCTGCTTATGTGTGCGTTTTTTGGCCGTTGTTCCTGCCGGCCACCATCATTCTTGCTTTGAGAAAATATATCTTACTTTTCTTATTAAAATGTTTATCCTTTTTTTGAGCTATAATTATTTAGTATACATATATATGAAATGTAAAATTTGTGTCATTTCATCAGATTCTTAAATTGAGAAGTTGTTCCATCCATCCATCTTCTCCCGCTTATCCGTGGTCGGGTCCGCGGGGTAGCAGTTCCAGCAGAGAGCCCCAAACTTTCCTTTCCCTGGCGACATCAACCAGCTCTGACTGGGGGATCCCAAGGCGCTCCCAGGCCAGCGAAGAGTTATAATCCCTCCACCTGGTCCTAGGTCTACCCCTTGGTCTCTTCCCAGCTGGACGTGCCTGGAACACCTCCCTAGGGAGGCGCCTAGGTGGCATCCTAACTAGGTGCCCGAACCACCTCAACTGGCTCCTTTCGACGCGAAGGAGGAGCGGTTTAACTCCGAGTCCCTCCCGGATGACCGAACTTCTCACCTTATCCCTAAGGGAGACACCAGCCACCCTGCGGAGAAAACCCATCTCGACCGCTTGTATCCGCGATCTCGTTCTTCCGGTCATGACCCATCCTTCATGACCATAGGTGAGGGTAGGAATGAAAATGGCCCGGTAGACAGAGAGCTTGCCTTCTGGCTCAGCTCCCTTTTCGTCACAACGGTGCGGTTAAAGCGACTGCAGTACCGCTCCCGCTGCTCCGATTCTCCGGCCCATCTCACGCTCCATTGTTCCCTCACTCGAGAACAAGACCCCGAGATACTTGAACTCCTTCACTTGGGGGTAAGGACTCATTCCCTACTTGGAGTGGACAGTCCATCGGTTTCCTGCTGAGAACCATGGCCTCAGATTTGGAGGTGCTGATCCTCATCCCAGCCGCTTCACACTCGGTTGCGAACCGATCCAGTGAGTGCTGAAGGTCGCAGACCGATGAAGCCATTAGAACCACATCATCTGCAAAAAGCAGTGGTGCAATCCTTAGTCCACCGAACTGCAGACCCCCTCCCCCACGACTACGCCTCGAAATCCGATCCATGTATATTACAAACAGGATTGGTGACAAAGCGCGGCCCTGGCGGAGGCCAACCCTCACCGGAAATGGGTCCGACTTACTGCCGAGGACCCGAACACAGCTCTCGCTTTGGGAGTACAGAGATTGGATGGCCCTGAGTAGAGACCCCCTCACCCCATATTCCCGCAGCACCTCCCACAGTAACTCCCTGGGAACTCGGTCATACGCCTTCTCCAAGTCTACAAAACACATGTAGACCGGATAAGCGTACTCCCAGGCCCCCTCCAGGATCCTTGCGAGAGTAAAAAGCTGATCCGTCGTTCCACGACCAGGACGGAATCCGCATTGTTCCTCCTCAATGTGAGGTTCGACAATCGGCCTGACCCTCCTTTCGAGTACCTTAGAGTAAACTTTCCCGGGGAGGCTGAATAGTGTGATGCCTCTGTAATTGGCACACACCCTCTGATCCCCCTTTTTGAAAAGGGGAACCACCAACCCGGTCTGCCACTCCTTTGGTACTGTGATAGAAATCAACACGTAATGAAATAAGACCCCACGGTTTGATGATTGATAGGTGTGTGGGCTGTCTTCCATTTTGACACACAGAACAATGGGGGCTATCCACCCTTATCCACAATGTAAAGTAATTCACAGCCTCTTCCCTCTTCTCTCTGTGAGGAGCAGCAGGTTCAGCTTTCAGAACAAAGTAACAAAAAACTAAAATGGCATTCATTTTTTTAAATATGTCGTGTAGTAATAGATTTATTTATTTCTCTTCTCAAGAGAGTACCAGAATGTGTATTTTATGTTAGTATTTCAAAAAAAACCTGGGGGAGAATCCCCCCAGACCCCCCTGCAGGAGTTGGGTTTTCAGCTCTTTCACCTGTGGAGAGATTGCAGGATTGGCTCCAGGTCGCCCTTTTTATTTACTACAAGTCAAATGTGCCTTTTTATTTCATACAGTTCAATTTGGATTGAGACAGGGAAATAATCTAAACCTCACGCGTGGTGTTTCACTGTCAAGGGGAGCGTGTAATTACATTGCAAATACTGACTTGAGACCCACCACTGTATGGGTTAGCCCTACCATAGATTACCCAACAAAAATACTCTGGAGCCGCCACTGTTTGCGGTCTACAATGACAGAGAAGAGCCTGTCAAGTTTGGCTGTATTCAGCATTGAATCAAAACGCACCATAGCTTTAAATCTTAATAAGTTTGTGAGGCGTTTTGCTGATCAAGATGTAATCGCCACATTCAGCTGTTATAGGCATGCCAACTTGATGCTCTGCTCACGGATGAGTCGATGAGAATAATAAACTGTTAAGATGATGACCTTACGTGTGTATAACAGTTTTCTTCTTTGTGGGGGTCTGCCCCCAAAAAACTGTTTCAAGTCGACTCAGACTGCAAGGAATCTGGGTGTGATCCTAGATAACAACCTGTCCTTCACTGCAAACATCACTGCTACAACCCGCTGCTGCAGATACACGCTTTACAACATCAGGAAGATACGTCCCCAGCTGACACAGAAAGCGACGCAGGTTCTGGTCCAGGCTCTCGTCATCTCACGCCTAGACTACTGCAACTCCCTCCTGGCTGGTCTACCTGCATGTGCCATCCGACCTCTGCAGCTCATCCAGAATGCAGCGGCTCGTCTGGTCTTCAACCTTCCTAAATGTTCCCACACCACTCCGCTCCTCCGCTCCCTTCACTGGCTTCCAGTAACTGCTAGAATCCACTTCAAGACAATGGTACTTGCGTACCATGCTGCGAATGGATCTGGCCCTTCCTACATCCAGGACACGGTTAAACCGTACACCCCATCACGTGCACTCCGCTCTGCATCAGCCAAACGACTCGCTGCAGCCTCACTGCGAGGGGGACCCAAGTTCCCATCAGCAAAAACACGTGGGTTTGCTGTCCTGGCTCCAAAATGGTGGAATGAGCTCCCCATTGACATCAGGACGGCAGATAGCTTGCAC